CCCAGAGACTCGGATGGAGCCCAGAGACTCGGATGGAGCCCAGAGATCCGGATGGTGCCTAGAGACATGGATGGAGCCCAGAGAGTGAGATAGAGCCTTAGGGGCTCGGATGGAGCCCAGAGACCCGGATGGAGCCCAGAGATATGGATGGAGCCCAGAGACTCGAATGGTGTCCAGAGAGTGAGATAGAGCCTTATGGCTCGGATGGAGCCCAGAGACCCGGATGGAGCCCAGAGACCCGGATGGAGGCTTAGGGACTGGATGGAGCCTTAGGGACCCGGATGGAATCTTAGGGACTCGGATGGAACCCAGAGACTCGGATGGAGCCTTAGGGACCCCGATGGAGCATTAGGGACCCAGAAGGAGCCCAGAGACCAGGATGGAGCCCAGAGACCCGGATGGAGCCTAAGGGACCCTGATGGAGCCCAGAGACCTGGATGGAGCCCAGAGACCCGGATGGAGCCCAGAGACCCGGATGGAGCCCAGAGACCCGGATGGAGCCTTAGGGACCGCGATGGAGTCCTAGGGATCCGGATAGAGCCCAGAGACTCGGATGGAGCCCAGAGACCTGGATGGAGCCTTAGGAACCTGGATGGAGCCCAGAGATCCAGATGGAGCCCAGAGACTTGGATGGAGCCTTAGGAACCTGGATGGAGCCCAGGGACCCGGATGGAGCCCAGAGACCTGGATGGAGCCCAGAGACCCGGATGGAGCCCAGAGACCTGGATGGAGCCCAGAGACCCGGATGGAGCCCAGAGACCTGGATGGAGCCTTAGGAACCTGGATGGAGCCCAGAGATCCAGATGGAGCCCAGAGACTTGGATGGAGCCCAGAGACCCGGATGGTGCCTAGAGACATGGATGGAGCCCAGAGAGTGAGATAGAGCCTTAGGGGCTTGGATGGAGCCCAGAGACCCGGATGGAGCCCAGAGATATGGATGGAGCCCAGAGACTCGAATGGTGTCCAGAGAGTGAGATAGAGCCTTATGGCTCGGATGGAGCCCAGAGACCCGGATGGAGCCCAGAGACCCGGATGGAGGCTTAGGGACTGGATGGAGCCTTAGGGACCCGGATGGAATCTTAGGGACTCGGATGGAACCTAGAGACTCGGATGGAGCCTTAGGGACCCCGATGGAGCATTAGGGACCCAGAAGGAGCCCAGAGACCAGGATGGAGCCCAGAGACCCGGATGGAGCCTTAGGGACCCGGATGGAGCCCAGAGACCAGGATGGAGCCCAGAGACCCGGATGGAGCCCAGATACCCGGATGGAGCCCAGAGACCCGGATGGAGCCTTAGGGACCCCGATGGAGTCTTAGGGATCCGGATGGAGCCCAGAGACTCGGATGGAGCCCAGAGACCTGGATGGAGCCTTAGGAACCTGGATGGAGCCCAGAGATCCAGATGGAGCCCAGAGACCTGGATGGAGCCCAGAGACCTGGATGGAGCCCAGAGACCCGGATGGAGCCCAGAGACCTGGATGGAGCCTTAGGAACCTGGATGGAGCCCAGAGTCCAGATGGAGCCCAGAGACTTGGATGGAGCCCAGAGACCCGGATGGAGCCGAGATATCTATGGAGTCCAGAGACTCGGATGGTGTCCAGAGAGTGAGATAGAGCCTTATGGCTCAGATGGAGCCCAGAGACTTGGAGGGAGCCCAGAGACCCGGATGGAGCCCAGAGACCCGGATGGAGGCTTAGGGACTGGATGGAGCCTTAGGGACCCGGATGGAATCTTAGGGACTCGGATGGAACCCAGAGACCCGGATGGAGCCTTAGGGACCCCGATGGAGCATTAGGGACCCGGATGGAGCACGGAGACCCGGATGGAGCCCAGAGACCCGGATGGAGCCTTAGGGACCTTGATGGAGTCTTAGGGACCTGGATGGAGCCCAGAGACTTGGATGGAGCCTTAGGAACCCGGATGGAGCCCAGAGACCTGATAGAGCCCAGATATCCGGATGGAGCCTTAGGGACCCAGATGGAGGTCAGAGACCTGATGGAGCCTTAGGAATCCGGATGGAGCCCAGAGACTTGGATGGAGCCCAGAGATTGAGATAGAGCATTAGGGGCTCGGATGGAGCCCAGAGACCCGGATGGAGTCTTAGGAACCTGGATGGAGCTCAGAGATACGGATGGAGCCCAGAGACTCTGATGGAACCCAGAGACTTGGATAAAGCCTTAGAGACCTGGATGGAGCCCTGGAGACCCGGATATGGCCCTAGGGACCTGGATGTGGCCCTGGGACCCGGGTGTGGACGTGGGGACCCGAATGTGGCCCTGGGAGAACTGGATGTGGCCCTGGGGACCTGATGTGGACCTGGATGGAGCCCTGGGAGACCCCGATGTGGCCTTGGAAACCCGGATGTGGACCTGGGGGACCCGGATGGAGCCCTGGGAGACCCAGATGTGGCCCTAGAGACCCGGGTGTGGCCCTGGAGACCCCCATGTGACTCTAAGGACCCGGATGTGGCCCTGGGAGCCCGTATGTGGCCCTGGAGATCCGGATGTGACCCTGGAGACCTGGATGGCGCCATAGAGAGCCGGATGTAGTGATGGAGACCTGGATGTGGCCCTGGAGAGAGCCCTAGAGACCCGGATGTGGCCCTGATCATGCTGATGTGGCCCTGGAGACCCAGATGTTCCTGGAGACCTGGATGGAGCCCTGGAGACCTGGATGTGGCCCTAGACCCGGATGTGGCCCTGGAGAACCGGTAATGGCCCGAGACACCTGGATGTGGCCCTGGGGACCCCGATATGTCCCTTGGGGAACCGGATGTGGCCCTGGGTCCCGTATGTGGAGCCCTGGGAGACCCGATGTGGCCCTGCAGACCCGGATGGAGCTCAGAGACCCGGATGGAGCCCAGAGACTCGGATTGAGCCAAGAGACCGGATAGAGCCTTAAGGACTCGGATGGAGCCCAGAGACCCGGATGGAGCCTTAGGGACCCCGATGGAGTCTTAGGGACCCGGATGGAGCCCAGAGATCCGGATGGAGCCATAGGAACCCAGATGGAGCCCAGAGACCCAGGTGGAGCCCAGAGACCCAGATGGAGCCCAGAGATCCGGATGGAGCCTTGGGGACCCGGATGGAGCCCAGAGACCCGGATGGAGCCCAGAGACCAGGATGGAGCCCTAGGGACCCAGATGGAGCTCAGAGATATGGATGGAGCCCAGAGACCCGGATGGAGCCCAGAGACTCGCATTGAGCCCAAAGACCCGGATGGAGCCTTATGGACCCGGATGGAGCCTTATGGACCCAGATGGAGCCCAGAGTCTCGGAAGAGCCTTAGGGAACTGGATGGAGCCTTAGGGACCCGGATGGAGCCTTAGGAACCCGGATGGAGCCCAGAGACTTGGATGGAGCCCAGAGACCTGGATGGAGCCCAGAGACCCAGGATGGATCCTTAGGGACTTGGATGGAGTCTTAGGGAATTGGATGGAGCCCAGAGACTCGGATGGAGCCAGGAGTCCCGGATGGATCCTTAGGGACCCAGATGGAGCCCAGAGATATGGATGGAGCCCAGAGACCTGGATGGAGCCCAGAGACCTGTATGGAGCCCAGAGACTTGGATGGAGCCAGGAGTCCCGGATCGATCCTTAGGGACCTGGATGGAGCCCAAAGACCCGGATGGAGCCCAGAGACTCTAATGGAGCCCAGAGACTCAGATGGAGCCTTAAGGACCTGGATGGAGCCCAGAGACCCGCATGGAGCCTTAGGGATGCGGATGGAGCCTTAGGGACCCAGATGGAGCCCAGAGACTCCGGCAGAGCCCCGAGACCAGGATGGAGCCCAGAGACCCGTATGGAGCCCAGAGACTCAGATGGAGCCAGGAGTCCCGGTTGGATCCTTAGGGACCTGGATGGAGCTCAAAGACCCGCATGGAGCCTTAGGGATGCGGATGGAGCCTTAGGGACCCGAATGGAGCCCAGAGACTCGGGCAGAGCCCCGAGACCAGGATGGAGCCCAGAGACCAGGATGGAGCCTTAGGGACCCGGATGTAGCTCAGAGACCTGGAGAGAGCCCAGAGACCCTGGGTGGAGCCCTGGGACCTAGATATGGCCCTGGAGGGAGCCCTGGAGATCCGGATGTGGCCCTGGAGACCCTGGTGTGGCCCTGGAGACCCTGGTGTGGCCCTGGAGACCCGGATGGAGCCCTGGGGAACCGGATGTGGCCCTGGAGACCCGGATGTGGCCCTGGGGACCTGGATGTGGCCCTGGAGATCGGGGTGGAGCCCAGAGACTCGGATGGAGCACAGAGACTGGATGCAGCCTTAGGGACACGGTTGGAGCCCCGAAACCCGGATGGAGCCCAGAGACCCGGATGTGGTCCAGAGACCTGGATGGAGCCCAGAGACCTGGATGGAGCCTTAAGGACTCGGAAGAAACCTTAAGGACCCGGATGTAGCCTTAGTGACCCTGAAGGCGCACAGAGACCCGGATGGAGCCTTAGGGACCAGGATGTTTCCTTAGGGACCCAGATGGAGCCCAGAGATAGAGATGGAGACCAGAGACCCCGATGGAGCCCAGAGACCTGTATGGAGCCCAGAGACTCGGATGGAGCCAGGAGTCCCGGATGGAGCCCAGAGACCCGGATGGAGCCCTTAGGGACCCAGATGGAGCCCAGAGACCCGGATGGAGCACTTAGACCCGGATGTGGCCCTGGGGACCAGGATGTGCCCCTGGGGACCTGGATGTGTCACTGCGGACATGAGTGGAGCCCTGGGGAGCCGGATATTGCCCTGGAGACCCGGATGTGGCCATGGGGACCCGGATGTGGCCCTGGGATCCTGGTGGAGTGTGACTGGCTGCCAGTGGAGTCGGGGAGAACCCCCCCAGTGTCACTCAGGGCTGATTGACAGCCACCAGATGACAGAGCCCACCCCCTTGTCAGTGAACGGTGACTGACAGTGCAGGGAGACCCGGAGGTAGCCCCTGGGTTCCTCCACCAGCTCGCTCTGTCTTTTGACGGAACAATAAAAATCGTTTAAAATAAACGACTGGGACTGTGCCTGGGATGAGTTTATTCCATGAACAGGAAGCAGAGAAAGCTGGGGACGGCCGATTCTAGAATGTTCCGAAGCTTTCTAGAAATTCTGGAACAATCCAGACCATCTTGGATCAATCCAGAATGCTCTAGAATGTTCCGGAGCATACTAGCGCGTTCGCAGGTGGGAGGAGATGGTGAGGCGATCAGGGGAGGAATCATTGTGCAGGAGGGGCGGTTCTGGAATGGTCTAGAACGTTCTGGCACCTTCTCCAAGGGAGGCGTCCTCAGGGTGGACAGGTGTCTGTTGGAGAGAGAGGAAAGCCGAGTCAGCGCCGAGTCAGCGCCGAGTCAGCCCGGAAGCCGCCAAGGCCTCACCTGTGTCGCCCACACGCCGGATGTACTTCCGCGGGATCCCATTCTGCTCCGTGAGCCTCGCGTAGTCCTCCAGCCGGTCGTCATTTATGACTCTCAATTTGACTGTGGCAAGAGTGGGTGCCGACTGAGTACGCTTGCTTTAGTGTGAGCCTACTGCATACACTCACTTTAGTGGCTGTATACGCTCACCCCATCTAGCGAGCGCCAACTGTATATGCTAGCGTTAGTGGGCACCGACTGTATATGCCCACCATGTCTAGTGGGCACTGACTGTATACACTCGCTTTATCCAGTGGGCACCGACTGTATCCCCCCTTTCCCTATATACAGTCGGGCTCAGACTCTCGGGTCGTGGTGCGTATCCCTAGCGGGCACCGGCAGTGTACATGTGTGTGTGAGGGGGGCTCACCAGTGAGGAAGCTGAGGCGGCTGGTGGTGCCGCTGGACCCCATTTTATTGATGAAGACGAAGAGCCTAGCGGGATCCAATTCGTGGAACTGGAAGGAGGTCTGGCCCTCGACTGTAGGGAGAGAGGTGGGTGTTCTGGATGTGCCGGGGCATGCTGGGACATTCTAGCGCATTCTGGAACATTCTAGAACATTGAGGAACTGGAGCATCCTGGGACATTTGCAGCATCCTGGAACATTTCTGGGAACATTCTCGAACATTCTGGAACACACCGGACATTCCCTGGGGTCGTCTGGAATTGTCTGGAACTTTCCGAAATGCTCTGTACTCACAGTCAGTGGTGTAGATGCCGTCTGCGTTCTTCTGGGCCACAACCGTGTGCGGGGTGCATACCTCGTTCTTCCTGAAGGAGAGACCGGGAACATGGCCGCTCGCTGTGGGCTCAACTGCTCCTGTCTGCTCTCCCTCTGGGCTCGCCTGGTCCACCATGGCCTGCTCTTTGACTCTGGGATCGGCTGGTCCTGTCTGCTCACTCTTAGCTCCATTACTCCCCTCTAGCCCACCTGCTCTCTGACTCTGGGCTCAACTGCTCCTGTCTACTCTTTCTCTGGGCTCGGCTGGTCCACCATGGCCTGCTCTTTGACTCTGGGATCGGCTGGTCCTGTCTGCTCACAGCTCCATTACTCCCCTCTAGCCCACATGCTCTCTGACTCTGGGCTCAACTACTCCTGTCTGCTCACTCTCCCTGGGCTCGGCTGCTCCCCCCTGGCTTGCTCTTTGACTCTGGGCTCAACTACTCCTGTCTGCTCACTCTCAGCTCCATTACTCCCCTCTAGCCCACATGCTCTCTGACTCTGGGCTCAACTACTCCTGTCTGCTCACTCTCAGCTCCATTACTCCCCTCTAGCCCACATGCTCTCTGACTCTGGGCTCAACTACTCCTGTCTGCTATCTCTCTCTCTGGGCTCGGCTGGTCGCCCTGGCCTGCTCTGTCTCTCTCTGGGATCGATTTGGCTTGGCGGCGCCTGTCTTCCCCGCTCTCTGGGCTCGATTGCTCCCCCCTGGCTCTCTGTCTCTGGCCTCGGCTTGTCTCCCCTGGCCCCGCCCCTCACTTGACATAGAAGAAGACGTTCAGGGCGTTGCAGTCCTCGTTGCACTCCATCTCGCGGAACAGCATCCGGAGTGGCCCATCCTCCAGGATCATTTCCAGGTTGTCGGAGGCCATGGCGGAGGTGCGCCAGGGCCCGGAGAGCTGGGGAGTGTAGGACCCCAAAAGCGGTGTCCTCTTGTGACGACCCCAGAAACACAGACTCCAGACCAGACGATGCAATAGAGCAGGAGGTAATTTTTATTTCATTTGCGCAAATGGGCCCCCTACTGCTGCAAGCAGCAAGCAAGCGAGAGGAGCCCCGAGCAGCTATCTCACACAGCTTTTAAGGGGCAAAACCACAAAATTAACATACCATAGGGTGGCGTAAGTTTATTGGGTAACTACAAGGGGAGGAGGTCGTCGAGGAGGAGGAGAGAACAGAAACCGGGGCTACGTGCCCTACGTGTCTAAGCTTGGACAAGGGGAGGGGTCCTTGAAGAGCAGAAAGGGGTGGCTACGTGCCCTACGTGTCTCGCGGTTTCTTTGTTAAGCTTGAACAAGCACAGGGGAGGGGGCTTATGTGCATACCAGGATGTTCTGTCGCCCTTATCTCTGGCTAGTAGCCCTTATCTCTGGCTAGTAGCTATCTGCTTTCTCTGTGAACTTAGTTTACTCCCCATTTCCCAGGACTGTTTTATTAAGGCCATTTTATGGCGGCTCTCGGCCGCTCCTTTCAGGGAGGTGAAGAAATGACGCGCATTAATGATACGGCTGAAGAAACAACGCAAAGTAGTGATGCGAATTAGTGATGCGAAGTAATGATGTGAAGAAATGATATGAATTCATGACGAGAATTAATACTGGGAACTAATGATGCAAATTTATGATACCTGGGCAGGGTCGATGTCCGCACAGGCCACGCCCACCGTGAGGGCGAGGAGGAGAGCCTTCGTCACCGTCATCTTCATCACCATCGTCTTCGTAGTCGTCTGAGCCGGCGGGGACCCGGCGTCTATTTATTGCCAGGGCTGGGGGAGGAGTTGGCGGGGCCGAAGGTTGTGCAAACATCCTGGTGGACACCAGGGACGTTCCGGAACGGTCAGTGCTCCCAGGGAATTCTGGGAGAGTCTGTCGTGCGTTCTTGGGCCTTGGAATTTTCCAGAACCCCTGGTGGGTGTTTCCAGGATTCCAGAATGTTCTAGAATGCCCAGGGAATGTCCTTGGAATCGCGAGGAATTCTGTGGAATGTTCCAGAATGTTCCAGAACACGTCCAGAGAGCCCGGCGCACGTCCTCGGGGCCTTAGAGTATTCTAGAGCGCCTGGTCTTGGAGTGTTCCGGAATACTGGCGGATGACGTAGAATTTTCTAGAATGTTCGTAGGATGCCCTGGACCGCTTGGTGAGTGTCTTTGGGGTCTTGAAATGTTGTAGAATGTTCCAGTATGTTCCAGAGAACCCAGCGAGCGTCCTGGGGGGTCTGAGACCCTCTGCCGACGTGCTGGAAGTTTCCGCAGCCCCGGTGGGCGCGGGATGTCACGTCAATGTCCGCAGGGCCAGGCCGGCACCAGGACACCCGTCACACCCAGCCGGGAAACTTCTACTCAGACCCGTATCCCAGAATCCCCCCAGACTCACTTGGTGATGTTCTGGTACATTCTAGAACACCTCGGAAAAATTCTAGGGATCCCGGAACATTCTAGAATGTCCTAGAATGTTCCAGAACCTGGATTTTTTTAGCTTTTTTCGTGCCCAGGCACCCAGACGTGACCTTGAGAGCTCCAGGGAGGTCACTCTAGTTTCTGTCTCTCGATGGGAAAAACCGACTTGACCGGTTCTGCGTTGTGTAATCCTTTAACCTGGTTTTCTGCTCCACTCACTCCATGGCTCAGGCTGGCTCTTCTCTCAGGGAGAGGAGGGTCATCAACGTGGCGTGTAGAGCACGTTGGACAAGGCAGATTCATAACTACAAAGTTTGCTCATCTTCTAATACCAAGACCCCCAATATCTCAGTTATTTTTTTTTTTTTTTGACAGGCAGTCAGATCCATCGGAAATGCCTTGAAAACATGGTCGTGTATAGACACGTTTGCTTCTTGAAAGGGTTTGCAGCTTCGTCGTCAGTACTGTCTCCTCAGTGACTTTAGAGCAGGAGAGAACAGGACACAGCAGACACTCTGAACAGCAACTTCAGTGAGTGAGTGATGAAGTGCCCAGACGAGGGAGGCGCAGTGGGTGACACGTCGATTCAGAAACGAGAGCAACTAGCCTGGGATTACCATGAGTGTGTTGGCAGAAGAATTAAAACTTGAAATAAGACTCCCGAAACGTACGCGCGGTCTTCACCACCTTGAACGAGTCTTGGTTTTTGCTGATAGCCTCTTTTTTTTTTTTTTTTTGACAGGCAGGAGTGGACAGTGAGAGACAGAGAGACAGAGAGAAAGGTCTTCCTTTGCCGTTGGTTCACCCTCCAATGGCCGCCGCGGCCGGCGCACCGCGCTGATGCAATGGCAGGGGCCAGGTACTTCTCCTGGTCTCCCATGGGGTGCAGGGCCCAGGCACTTGGGCCATCCTCCACTGCACTCCCGGGCCACAGCAGAGAGCTGGCCTGGAAGAGGGGCAACCGGGACAGAATCCGGTGCCCTGACCGGGACTAAAACCCGGTGTGCTGGCGTCGCAGGTGGAGGATTAGCCTGGTGAGCCGCGGCGCCGGCTTGTATGATTATTTTCATAAACTGTGCTTTGAACAGGGACACAAGTGATTGAGCACAAGCCATGCAGTGTCCTCTGAGCCACTCAGTGATAGCTGAGGGTCTCCGTCCTTTATAGACTTCAAGTTGTGAGCCAGGTGTTAGTGTCTGAAGGCACGCTACATGAAGAGGTAGGGAGAGATCACCTGTTGTGGGCCACTTTGTAAACCATCTTGAATGTCACACACTTGCCATCTGACCAGATGTGTGCACTGTCTGTTCTTCCCTAGTTTCTGCACCCAGCTGGACTTTCACATTCAGATATGGCGGAGAAACCACTCCCTTAGGATCCACTGAGTGCCCCTGACTGGATCAGGAACTGTCGCAGAGTGACAGGTTCTGGGTCAGTCAGGGGCAGGCAGGAGAGCTAAGGACTTGGGGTTCCTGCCGCAGACTGACAGGTTCCCGGTCCTGTCAGGGGCAGGCAGGGGAGCCAAAGACGGCGTTTCTGGCCCTAGACTGGCAAGCTACCAGTCCCATCAGCGGCAGGCAGGGGAGACAAGGAGGTGGGGTTCTGGCCCCAGACTGACAGGTTCCCAGTTCCATCAAGGGCCGGCAGGGGATCCAAGAGGTGGGGTTGTAGTCCGAGACTGTCCGGTTCTCAGGCCAGAAAGAGGCAGTCAGGGGAGCCAAGGAGGTGGGGTTCTGGCCGCAGAATGACAGGCTCTGGTTCCAGTCAGGGGCAGGCAGGGTAGTGTAAGAGGATGGTGTTCCTGCCACAGACATACAAGTTCCCTGTCTAGTCAGGGACAAGCCGGGGAGCTAAGCATGTGGGGTTCTGGCCGCACATGGACAGGTTCCCGGTCCATATGGCCAGGCAGGGAAGCTAAGGCGTTCTGGCTAAGGTTCTGGCAGCAGCATGACAGGTTCCTGGTCCCATCGCGGGCAGTCAGGGGAGCCAAGGAGGTTGGTTCTGGCCACAGACTGACAGGTTCAGGTCTATCAGGGGCAGGCAGGGGAGCTGAGGACATGGGGATCTGGCCACAGGCTGACAGGTTCCCGTTGCTGTCAGGGCAGCCCAATGAGGTGGGGTTCTGGCTACAGAGTGACAGGTTCCTGGCCCCCTCAGGGAAAGTCAGGGGAGCCACGCAGGTTAGGCTCTGGTCGAGACTGACAGGTTCCGAGTCCCGTCACAGGTAGGCCAGGGAGCCTAAGGAAGCGGGGTTCTGGCCACTGGTGACAGTTGCAGGTCCATCAAGGGTAGGGAGGGGTGCTGATGGGGTGGGGTTCTGGCTGCAGACTCACAAGTTCCTGGTCCAGTCAGGGGCGGGCAGCGTAGCCTACGGAGGTGGGGTTCTGGCCACAGAATGACGACAGGTCTCTGGTCCCATCAGGAGTAGGCAGGGAGCTAAGGACATGGGGTTCCTTCCGCAGACTGACTGACAGATTCCAGGTCCAGTCAGGGGCAGGCAGGGGAGCTAAGGAGTGGAGTTCTGGCCACAGACTGCCAGGTTCCTGGTCCAGTCAGGGACAGTCAGAGGAGCCAAGGAGGTGGGGTTCTGGCCACAGACTGACAGGTTCCCAGTCCAGTCAGGGACAGTCAGAGGAGCCAAGGAGGTGGGGTTCTGGCCACAGACTGACAGGTTCCTGGTCTAGTCAGGGGCAGGCCTGGGAGCTAAGGGGTGGAGTTCTGTCCGCAGACTGAAAGGATCCCAGTCCCATCAGGGGGACTCACTGGAGCCTCAAGGTTGGGGTTCTGGCTGCAGACTGATGGGTTCCCGGTCCCATCAGTGGCAGTCAGGGGAGCCAAGGAGGGTGGTTCTGGCCTCAGAGTGACACGTTTCGGTCCAGTGACGCCAGGAAGGGGAGTTAGCTACGTGTGGTTCTGGCCACAGACTGACAGATTCCTGGTCCAGTATGGTCAGGCAAGGGAGCTAAGGGGGTGGAGTTTTGGCCGCAGACTGACTGGTGCCCGGTCCTGTCAGGAGCACTCAGCAGAGACTAGAGGGTGGGGTTCTGGCTGCAGACTGAAAGGTTCCTGCTCCAGTTAGGGGCAAGTCAGGGGAGCAAAGAAGTTAGGGTTCTAGTGGCAGACTGACACATTCCGGGTCCATCTGGGGCGGGAAATGAGCCCAGGAGCTGGGCTTCTAGCCGCAGACTTACAGGTACTGGGTCCAACAGAGGCAGGCAGTGGAGCTAAGGATGTGGGGTTCTGGCTGCACACTGACAGGTTCCCGGTCCAGTCAGGGGCAGGAAGGGCAGCTAAGGACATGGGGTTCTGGCCGCAACTGACAGGTTCCCAGTCCCGTCAAGGGCAGACAGGGGAGCCAAAGTGGGTGGGGTTCTGGCCACAGACTCACGGGTTCCATTTCCAACAGGGGTAGGCAGTGGAGCTAAGGATGTGGGGTTTGGCTGCACACTGACAGGTTCCTGGTCCAGTCAGGGGCAATAAGGGGAGCTAAGGACATGAAGTCTGCATGCAGACTGACAGGCTCCTGGTCCCATCAGGGGCAGCCAAAGGAGCTAAGGATGTGGGGTTCTGGCGGCAGACTTACAGGTTCCATGTGCGTGTGGAGTAGGACAGGGAGGCACGGTGGTGAGGTTCTTTCTGCAGACTACAGGTTCCAGGTCTATCAAAGGCGGGCGGGCAGCTAAGGACGTGGGGTTCTGGCCACAGACTGACAGGTTCCCGGTCCTGTCAAGAGCACTCAGTGGAGCCAAGCTGGGTGGGGCTTTGGCTGCAGACTGACAGGTTCCTGGTCCAGTCAGGGGCAGACAGGGGAGCCTAAGGAGGTGTGGTTCTGGTCACAGTCTGACAGGTTCCTGGTCCTGTCATGGGCAGGCGAGGGAGCTCATGGTGTGGGGTTTGGGCTGCAGACCGACAGTTCCCCTGTCCAGTCAGGGGCAGGCAGGGAACCAAGAGGTGGGTTTCTGGCCGCAGACCAACAGGTTCCCATTCTCATCGGGGGCAGGCAGGGGAGCTAAGCAGGTGCAGTTCTGGCGGCAGACTGACAGGTTCCTGTGCCAGTCAGGGGCGGGCAGGGGAGCCCAGGAGGTGGGGTTCTGGCGGGAGACTGGCAGGTTCCGGGTGCCGTTAGGGGCGTCAGGAGAGCTAAGGGGCTGGGTTTTGATAGCAAACTGACAGATTTCTGGTTCAGTCAGTGGACCCGCGAGGGAGCGAAGGGTGTGGGGTTCTGGCTGCAGACTGACAGGTTCCCTGTCCAGTCAGGGGTACTCAGTGGAGCTTAAGGGGGTGGGGTTATGGTGGCAGACTGACCGGTTCCTGGTCGTGAATGGATAGGCAGGGGAGCTAAGGGGGTGGAGTTCTGAACAGACTGAGGTTTCCTGGTCCCATCAGGGGCAGGCAGGGGAGCTGAGGATGTGGGGTTCTGGCCACAGACTGACGAGATCACAGTCCTCTCAGGGGCATGCTGGGGAACTAACAAGGTGGGGTTCTATGTGCTGACTGACAGGTGTCCGGTCCTGTCAGGGGCACTCAGTGGAGCCTAAGAGGGTGGGGGTTCTGGCTGCAGACTGACAGTATGGACGGCCCAGTATGGACAGGCAGGGGAACTAAGGACCCTGGTTTCCTGCCGCAGCCTGACAGTTCCAAGTACCGTCAGGGGCATGTGGGGAGCTGGCGAGTGGGGGTTCTAGATGCTAGCTAACAGGTTCCTCATCCAGTCAGGGGCATTCAGTGGATCCTAAGGCAGTGGGTTTCTGGCTGCAGACCGAGAGGTTCCCCGTCCCATCAGGGGCAGGCAGGGGAGCTAAGGGGGTGGGGTCCTGGCGGCAGACTGACAGGTTCCCCGTGCAGTCGAGAGCAGGCAGTGGAGCCTCAGGGGGTGGGGTTCTGGGCGCAGAATGACGAGTTCACAGCCAATGGCTCCCCCCGTCTCAGACGCGGGGACCAATCAGACGCTGGGCGGGCGTGTGCTTCCTGTTTCAGCGGCTCGGGGCGGAAGTGGTGTTGAACCGCGATTCCACACAGCTCTCTTCTCTCTTTTCTTTTAAAAAAAAAAGCTCCTTGATCTAATTTTGCTGACCGAAATTATCATTTTGCTTCTATCATCTGTGGGCCATATGTCCTGGTTTCACACCGTCCAGCCACAGGAGGCTTGGACAGGGAGGAGCGGGAAGACTACAACTCCCAAACGGCTCAGCGAGAGCGTCGCTTTGCGTCTGGGCTGGACTCGCCTGGGTGACACGTCGGGCAGCCAATGGCTTCCCCCTGTCTCAGACCCGGGGGCCAATCACAGGCCGGGTTGGTGTGTGCGTCCTGTTTCTGCGACTCGGTGCAGACATGGTCTTGAAAGGAACCCCGTTTCAACACAGATCTCTCCCTTTCTTGGAAAAAAAAAAAAGGCTCTATGATCTAATTTTCCTGACCTAAGTTATCATTTTTCTTTTATCATCTGTGGGCCATATTCCCTGGTTTCACATTGTCCAGCCACGCTCGGCTTGCACAGAGCGGGGCGGGGAGACTTCCACCTCCCCGAAGCCTCAGCGGCGGCGGCGACGCTCTACGTGTGGGCTGTACTGGCCTGAGTGACAGGTAGCCGACCCAATGGCTTCCCCGGTCTCAGACTCCGGACCACTCAGACGTGGGGTGTGTGTGTGCTTCCTGTTTCGGAGGCGTCTGCTCGGGGCGGAAATGGTGTGGAAAGGAACCGTGTTTCAACCCAGCTGTCTTCTTTCTCTTCTTTGAAAAAAAGCTCTGAGGCCTAATTTTCCTGACCTAAATGATCATTTTTCGTCTGTCACCTGTGGGCCATATTTCCTGATTTCACATTGTCCAGCCGCCCTATGCTTGGACAGGGCGGAGCGGGGAGACTACAACTCCCGGAAGCCTCGCCGCCGACCTCGCCCTCCGTCTGGGCTGGACTCACCTGGGTGACACGTCAGGCAGCCAATGGCTTCCCCCTGTCTCAGACCCGGGGGCCAATCACAGGCCGGGTTGGTGTGTGCGTCCTGTTTCTGCGACTCGGGGCGGACATGGTCTTGAACCCAGCTCACTTCTCTCTTTTCTTATTTTTACTTCATTTTATTTTTTTAATTCTATTTTATTTTATTTTATTTTTTGAAGGCAGAGTGGACAGTGAGAGAGAGACAGAGAGAAAGGTCTTCCTTTGCCGTTGGTTCACCCTCCAATGGCTGCTGCGGCCGGCGCACCGCGCTGATCCGATGGCAGGAGCCAGGTGCTTTTCCTGGTCTCCCATGGGGTGCAGGGCCCAGGCACTTGGGCCATCCTCCACTGCACTCCCGGGCCACAGCAGAGAGCTGGCCTGGAAGAGGGGCAACCGGGACAGAATCCGGCGCCCCGACCGGGACTAGAACCCGGGTGCCAGCGCCGCTAGGCGGAGGATTAGCCTAGTGAGCCGCGGCGCCGCCTTTTATTTTTTTGACAGGCAGCGTGGACAGTGAGAGAGAGAGACAGAGAAAGGTCTTTCTTTTGCCGTTGGTTCACCCTCCAATGGCCGCTGCGGTGGGGCGCTGTGGCCAGTGCACAGTGCTGATGCGATGGCAGGAGCCAGGTGCTTAACCTGGTCTCCCATGGGGTGCAGGGCCCAACACTTGGGCCATCCTCCACTGCACTCCCGGGCCACAGCAGAGAGCTGGCCTGGAAGAGGGGCCACCGGGACAGAATCCGGCGCCCCGATCGGGACTAGAACCCGGTGTGCCGGCGCCGCAAGGCGGAGGATTAGCCTAGTGAGCCGCGGCGCTAGCCTTCTCTCTTTTCTTGAAAATAAAAGCTCTATGATCTAATTTTCCTGACCTAAGTTATCATTTTTCTTTTATCATCTGTGGGCCATATTCCCTGGTTTCACATTGTCCAGCCACGCTCGGCTTGCACAGAGCGGGGCGGGGAGACTACAACTCCCAGAAGCCTCAGCGGCGGCGGCGACGCTCTACGTGTGGGCTGTACTGGCCTGAGTGACAGGTAGCCCACCCAATGGCTTCCCCGGTCTCAGACTCCGGACCGCTCAGACGCGGGGTGGGTGTGTGCTTCCTGTTTCGGAGGCGTCTACTCGGGGCGGAAATTCTATATGTAAGAGCTGAGAAAGCTTTCTTTTCTTTCAAAAAAAAAAAAAAGCTGTGAGGCCTAATTTTCCTGACCTGAGCTATCATTTTCCTGTTATCATCTGTGGGCCATATTTCCTGGTTTCACATTGCCCAGCCACCCTCTGCTTGGACAGGGTGGACCGGGGAGACTACAACTCCCCAAAGCCTCAGCGGCAGGGCGCTCTGCGGCTGGGCTCGTCTGAGTGACAGGTCGGGCAGCCATTGGCTTCACGCGGTCTCAGACTC